TCAAGGTCTTAGAAAAGCAAGAACAATTCAAACCCCAATGGAGTAGATAGTGAAAACCAAAAGAGGTCAGGGCAGAAATGAATGAAACAGAGGCTTGATGTACAATGCAGAGAATCAATGAAATAAAGAGATGATTCTTTAAATGTACACACACACATGGGGGGGCATCTGGGCTTTTATTTTACAAACTATGTGCTGTTCCTTTTACTTGCTTTTCATTTTGGTTGCTAGAGAGATAGCTCAGTGGTTAAAACCACGTACCTAATGCACAGACCCATACGCATTGGCTCACAATTGTCTGCAACTGCAGCTTCAGGAGATGGGTCCAACACACTCCTTTGGCCTCCTCACACACAAACCCACACATATAAACATAATTTTAAAACATTTTTAAATGTTTTTTTTCACATCAGTTTTAATGGATTCCCACAACCAAATTGGGAAGAAAGCACAAATATCTCCCTTTACAGCCCCTTTCTCCAGGCCCAGTCTCCCCTAAGGTAGTTCTGACATCAAGGTGTTACATTAGTTACAACTGATACTAATGTATACATTATCTTCAGCACCGGAAGGTCTGCTTGCACTGCCGTTCGGTTAGGTTTCTAGCCCTGAGGTCTGATGCTGGAGATGGAGGAGTCCAAGAGAAATCAGAGAACCATCAGTACATACACTAGGTGTACAGAGACCACTGGAATCACTGGTTCTCAGGTCAGACACAAATACTCTTGAGCATAAGTTCTCTTTGACTCAGGGTACAAATGAGAGAATAGCCTAAGCCTGTCTTAAAAGGGGTTAGATGAGGCGGGGGTAACACTCTCGTTACTTCTACAATAATGAAGATACATATGATAAACAGTGCATGAACAACACAGGAACAAAAAGCTCACACAGAACCAAGGATCCGTGGAGTGGTCCAAGAACAGATATTACTTCATTGCTGAAGGCTCTGAAATGAGACAAGAATTTTTAAATGTTTGGGGTCATCAAAAAATCATTAAAATGAGTGCATGACTTCCCACAGTTCCTTGAAGAATACAGTATGTGCTTAGCAGCAGACATCTTCATTTGCTGAAACCCGGTCTCATTTCCTCATACTGGTCTGGGATCGATTGTTGAAGACAAAAGCGGCCCAGGATTCGGGTGACCCAAGGAAAACTGACCCCTGGAGATAGACTTGATGATGCCAGTGACCCAAAGTTCTGGAGGGGCACAATGAGAAAAGAAGTGTACCCACTTTCCTACCCAGATACTTTCAGTCAGCAGATGGTGATGATATGGTATTAAAGAGTAGCCTGATGGTGTGACCTCAGAGTGACCTGAAGGTGTGACCTCAGAGTGGCCTAAGGCACAATGCCTTTGATTGCTCCAGAAGACTCCCAGGTACCAAATGTCTCTCACTAACTTTCCCATTCACAGCCACCAACTCTCTGGTGTTCTTGTTAACTGACAGAATCCCCGGCATCTGTGGATTTGGTTGTGTGTGTGTGTGTGTGTGTGTGTGTGTGTGTGTGTGTGTGTGTTCTTACAATTAGCAGTGTAGCCTTGTTTTACATTATATTTTCTCCTTTCCATTATTTAAATGATAAAGATCATTATCACCGTTCCCAAAGAAAAATTCAGCCCCCAAACTGAAAACACTGCATGGAGGAGGCTCTTCCCGGTTCTGGGGAGCAAACAGTGAAGCGCATTATTTCCCCATTTTCTGATCTAAGCACAGGAGGATGGAAAATGCAGTCACTCAAATAACTCAGATCGTTTCCCGCACAGGACAATAATAGCGGGAACGTTTCTACGGCTCCAAGGAAGCAAGTGTTTCTAATTAGTGAGCAAGAGCAGCTGAGGTAACTATTCTGGGCAGAAAAGCAAAGCCGAGAAATTGCCTGGATTCTGCTTGTGAAGATTGCCACCTACTGGGTGCCATGCAACACTGCAGCAGGCTTGAAGGGAAGGGCATGGGCTAAGGAGCGAGCAGGAAGAGAACAACAAAGGGGCATGGCGGATGGTGCCCGCCGGGCAGGCAGGATGGAGTCGGGCTATGAGAGGGCTCAGGTAGGAATCTGCATCTTGGAGAGGTCTAGCTGGGCCTACAGGGCCCCTTGGGGCTTAAGCAAAGGATTGCGGAGAGTAAGTGAAATAGAAGTCAATGGGCACAGAGGTAAGGACCGCGACCAAAGTGGCGGAGCCACCAGGCAGTGGCAGCACTGACCATGGAAGACCATTCGCCCTAGGAATTTGTAGCCAATGAGATTTGATCCAGAGGTCTTGCAGTCAATGAGATTTGATCCAGAGGTCTTGCAGTCAATGAGATTTGATCCAGAGGTCTTGCAGTCAATGAGACTTGATCCAGAGGTCTTGCAGTCAATGAGATTTGATCCAGAGGTCTTGCAGTCAATGAGACTTGATCCAGAGCTCTTGCAGTCAATGAGATTTGATCCAGAGCTCTTGCAGTCAATGAGATTTGATCCAGAGGTCTTGCAGTCAATGAGATTTGATCCAGAGGTCTTGCAGTCAATGAGACTTGATCCAGAGGTCTTGCAGTCAATGAGACTTGATCCAGAGCTCTTGTAGTCAATGAGATTTGATCCAGAGGTCTTGTAGTCAATGAGTTTTGATCTAGAGGTCTTGTAGTCAGTGATCCAGAGGTCTTTGGGAGGATAAATTAGGAGTTTTCCCCAGATGAGAAAAGAGGTGGTTTAAAGCTCATTGAGGCCTGGTAGAACCCAGCAATCAAGAACCAATAAGCAGGTAAAGATTCGCCCCTACAAGGTACAGAGAAAGGCCTTTGTGTTCATAGAGAAACACTAGGAAACCTGGAATGTTTCAGACACAGGATTGTTCCATCAAAGTGAGGAATGTGTAACCTGCTATCTGCCCGGAAGGCTGGGGAGCAGACATAGTTAATAACCTGGTGACCTTTGTGCTGATATCTGTGAGCTGGAGACCACGCTGGACCCTCCCCAAGACCCTTATTGTGGACTTGTTTTTCTCAGTCTACAGAACCCATATCTATGGAAGATGTCACATGTACTTTACAGAGTCTCCATATAGTCACGTCCAGTCTTTATTCAGCTCGCGTTGCTCCTCAAGGAGATTTTTGTGTGCTTTATTATTGTGCCCATGGTGCTGAATTAATTATCACCAGGAAAGTTTTCACCAAGTTGTGCTGTGCTTAAATAAAGCCTAAAACAAACCGTTCAGGGGCAGACTCCCAAAGTTTGGACAAACACCAGCTACCGATCCACGTTGAACCGAACTGCCTTCTTACTTCCTACAGATTGCTACTCTGCTGGCCCTGGTGATCTCAGAGACCCCCACTTAACCACCCACATTCCCCAGTTAGCAATCTCTGAACAACACAGGGTGTGATGCTCATACCTGTGATCCCAGGTGCTGGGACAAGAGGCCTGCAGTAAATTTCAAGGCCATGCTGTGCTGCATAGTAAATTCCAGGTCAGCCTGGGCTACAAAGTGAGAATCTCTCCTTTAAAAAAAGGAAAAGGAAAAACTCTGGGCAGACGGCAAATCTCTTGGCTCTTTGAGAACTGCCTTTAAAAAGGCAAGTCAGACCAAAGATTGACATACGGATTTGACAGATAACACAGTCATCACCTTACGTCAGTCCTGGCCACCATTCTCCAGCAGCCGTGGTTCCCTCAAGATCTGTCAACACTGAAGCCTAACCCTGCCCCCCCCAGACATGAAAGTCACATCTGACCATAGAAGAATGACCCCACGTTTCTTCATCATCTGGTTCTTTTAAATATATTAACTGAGTCTCCCGCATGCCACGCTACTGGCGCTGACATTAAGGGAGCAGTGGGGGTAGGAAAAATATAATTCCTGGGACTAGGAAAGCAGAGTGAACATGCTAACAAGAACTCCACAGTCCAGGAAGAGTCTGAATAGAGATAACAAGTCCGTCTGGGTGAACAGGGACAGGTGAGGAGGTTTTTACTGAGGAAACCATTTTCGGCCAGTACATTGACTCAAGGTTACCGGAGAGCAGTGTGTTACAAACCTTGGGCCTCGTTCACGTTAGACAGTCACGTTTGTTTGGGCAAGTCACTTCAGTTCTTGGCCTTTGCTCGTCACAAAACAGGGGGACTAGTGGAACTAAGTGAGCACGAGGGCGAGAAGCAAATGCTCCTGCAGAAGCTAGCCAGTGATGGTTTTTATACGGTCCCCCACCTTTAGTTCTGTGCAGAGTGAAGAAAAAGGCAGACACACCCACCTAAGAACTGGGGCTGCTGGGTGCTGTTTGCACGCCTAGCGTTGAACTTTCAGATCCCAGATAGATCACAGAGATCACAGGCTCCACTGTGACAGGGATGAAAGTGAAGGCTGAAACGCTCTTAAAACTGTTGGTCAACTTGCTGAAAACTGAACCGTTATTTTTCAGCATTACTTCCGGAAGAAGATGCACTCCGTTGCAAACCATATTAACAGAACAATTCTGTAGAACACGTTAGTGCATTTTTCACACAGAATCCTATACGTAGCAAAAACATTAAAACACCAAGAGTCTGGGTTTGATTTTGTTTTTATCGACTCGACACAAGCCAGAGTTCTCCAGGAAGAGAGACTTCAGTTGAGAAAATGATTCCATCCAATTGCCGTGGCAAGTCTGTGGGACATTCTCCTGCTTGGTGATGGACCTGGAGAGCCCAGGACACTGTGGTCAGTGCCACCCCTCGGCAGGTGGTCCTGGAGAGTGTAAGAAGGCAAACAGGAAAAGCCACAGAGAGCAAGCCAGGGAGCAGCGCTCCTCCCCGGTGTGCATCGGTTCCTCCTCCAGGTTCTAGATCTGACTTCCTGCCCTGCCTTCCCTTCTTGCTGGACTACTTTCTGATTTTGTGGAGTTTTACCCCAACAATGATAAACAAGCCACTCGTGCTTGTAGATGATAGTGGCTGTCCTGCCTGGAAGGGGCCAGAGATGTGCAGGTCTACCCATCTCTGCAGCCCCGGAAACAAGCATCAGAATGGTGAACACTTACTTACCCAGGGATGGGCTAGAGGCTCTTAGTCATTTTCCTTTCTCAAACCCCACTGAAGAGCTGCCCCAGTAGGCAGACTTTCTCAGGCACACTCCTGTTAAGGATTCACAAGTCATCGACTGACTGTCTGTTGATCCAGCTTGTTTGCATAATTAGGCAGCACAGGTGCAATTCTGCCTGAGTTTTCCCAACAAGTGTAAACGAATTGCCTACCTCAGATGAATCCTGGGACAGAAGACACTTCAGCTCCGACAGAATGACTTGTAAACAGAAGGGGGAAGCTCCCACAGCTAAAGAAAAGATCAGAGGGAAACAGACCAAAGAAATGAATAAAAGCAGATTGGTTTCCTGCTTGTTTTATACTGTGCATAGTTTTCAAAGTTCCTTTGGTTTATAAGTTTAACATAAGTAGGGGAGGAGTTCTCTTTGTGGAAGAGGTGCTTGTAAAAGAACAGAAGCACAAAATTTGGACCTTCTTCCCCCAGCTCTCAGGAATTAGTCTTTCTCCTCAGTATGCAGGGGAAAGTGAACATTGCCTCCTGGAAAGGGGAAGGACTCTCTGAGCAAGGGAAACTTAAAGGACTCAGGAGGCCCCTCCCATGGGCCACACAAGCACTAGTTCCTGGGGAGAGGGAACTGTCCCCTGGAGCTGCCTGCAGGTCCGGAAGGGAGCTCCGGGATGTAATGTTCATGAATGAACTGTTGCTATGATGGGCTTCTCAGTGATGCAGCCACCATTGGGTCACCCGTGCTCCTGCTAAGAAATCCTAACAAACTCCAGTTCAACACAGAATGGGATCCCGTCTTTGACATGTGTTGGGACCCTATGATGTTAGCTCGTGTCTCCTTGGGAGAAATCACATAACACTCCAACACCCTAAAATATTAGAGTATAAATATTTTTTACTTTTAAATTGCACTGCCTTAAAAAAGTTGAATATACTAAAAACAAGTTCCCAGGAAGCTGACTTAAGACAAATTAGTTTTCAGAACAAAAGGACCTGAAGCTGAACTGTCCACTTGTTTTGAAGATGTTTTGCCATCTCGTCCTAAGTAGTAGTGCCTGCAGTGTGTAGAGTTCCAGCTTCTTGCTCCTCTTCACCAGGGATACTCACTGGTTATCTGGATGTATAGTGGCCTTCAGTGTCATTTCACCAGGGATACTCACTGGTTATCTGGATGTATAGTGGTCCTCAGTGTCATTTCACCAGGGATACTCACTGGTTATCCGGATGTATAGTGGTCTTCAATGTCATTTCACCAGGGATACTCACTGGTTATCTGGATGTATAGTGGCCTTCAGTGTCATTTCACCAGGGATACTCACTGGTTATCCGGATGTATAGTGGCCTTCAGTGTCATTTTACCAGGCTCCCAAGAAGTAGCTTGCTGTTCCTGTCTTGACAGTGGGTTCTCAAAACAGATACATCAGATCTGAGACCTCAGCAGGGGAAAACAAAATGTCCAACACAGATCCCCATTTCTTGGCCTATTATATTAGTCAGTATTTAACATCAGGAATCACTTTCACAGGACAAATACATTTCAGTAAATACCTCCCTTTTCTATTCCTGTGGTCACATGACTTACGTGGCATTTCCATGGGTTCCAGGTTCATTCAACACGATCTGTTCTGTAACAAGGAGGTACATCTCGCTGCATTCAAAACACCAAAAAATGAACCAAGATCCCACCAATGAAACCACTGGCGGTTGCCAAGAAGTCTGTGGTTAGCATGGAGATTTGGCCACTCACCTTTCTTTCTAGGGAACCTCAACAAAAGGGGAAGAAAGCATGGTAGACTATGTGTTCACTTTTTCTTCCCAGCCAACAAGAAACAAAATTTGTTTCTTTCATTAAAAGCCTCTTATCACATTTCAAACAAAAAAAGGTGTCAAAACATACAGAGAAGCACAATAAGAATATTAAGGTCAAGCTGTGTCTATAGCATAATGGAGAGGTTTTCTAGCATGTGTGAGGCCCTGGGTTCAATCCCCACACAGGGAAAGAAATTCAATTGACGTAAGGCACGGCACTAGTGAAATGAGAACACCCTAGCGGCCCTGAAGGATCTGAATCGTCAGTAGACAGGGGGAGCTGAGCTTTGGGATAGCAGCTCAGTGCAAACCTTCTCCCCAAGAAAATAACTATAGCTGGCAAATAAATTTAATGCTTAACAAGCATCTAAGTGCATGCAACAAATAGAGACATATTTAACCAGGAAAGTCTATGACGTCTCCGTAAGAATAAAACCTGGTAGCATTCTACATCTGGCCACACTGTGCCCAGACTGGGGAAGACTGGGGAACGCACACAGGGCTCCACCCTTATTCAACTCTCAGTCTGGAACTGCAGGGTCCCCGGGAGGGTCAGGCTGCCTGTATTGATTTCCCAGTTTGGGGCTATGGAATCCCTATCCCAGATACTATGCGAAAGGTCTAGGGCTCCCCTCCTCCACACTCAACTCATGTGGCAGAAGCTGCATGAAAGTCATGATAGGATAAGGCCAATGGTTCCCACATGCTTTTCTGTCACTGTGATCAAATCCCTCACAGTTGCAAATTATGGAAGGAGAAGTTACTCAAGCCCGTGGCTTCAAGGAATATAGTGCACCAGAACGAGGACCCCAATGGCCGCTGAGACAACTGTGTTCGTGGTGGTGGGCACATGATGAATCAAGAGTCAGAAAGAAAGGCCAGAAGTGAGACTAGGCTGTGACACTCATAGTATCCAACACCTAACATACACAACTACATGTGTCCCCCAGTTTCCAAAACCTCCCAAAAGCTGAGGACTAACGTGCATGAGCCTGGAGGAAGGTTTCACATTAAACCATGACAGAAGTTGTGCCAGGAGAAAAACAGAGGCTGCCCTCCTACTCAGTACCCTGGCCTCCTAGCAAAAACGTCACTCTGAGGAAAAAAATGTCCCTGCCCTAAGTTCTGAGTCAGAATCAATAGGATGGATGGTGCTTTTCTCCAAAGGGGTGAGATAAGACGTGAGGAGAGACTTAGAATCCCTCTTCAAAGGATGAGTGTATTTGGGATGGACTATGATGGTGGTTGAGCCCAAGGGCACTGTGGAGCATGGCAGAGATGTAATCAGTAAACAATTCAGAGGAAGCTGGCACTTCATGGAGCAGCAAGTTAAACTGTAGGCCGGTGAATAGGAGTTTAAGAGAAGGAACAAGGGGGAGGGCTGACCAACCACACACATGTTGGTAGCAGTAAGTAGAAGAGGAAAGTGATGGAAATCTTTTTCTTTAATGCAATGTGAAATGGGAACTTCACAAGGCAGAAGACAGGAAATAGATCCAGAGTCCATAGAAGAGGAAAGTGATGGAAATCTTTTCTTTAATGCAATGTGAAATGGGAACTTCACAAGGCAGAAGACGGGAAATAGATCCAGAGTCCATAGGAGAGGAAAGTGATGGAAATCTTTTCTTTAATGCAATGTGAAATGGGAACTTCACAAGGCAGAAGACGGGAAATAGATCCAGAGTCCATAGGAGAGGAAAGTGATGGAAATCTTTTCTTTAATGCAATGTGAAATGGGAACTTCACAAGGCAGAAGACGGGAAGTAGATCCAGAGTCCATAGAAGAGGAAAGTGATGGAAATCTTTTTCTTTAATGCAATGTGAAATGGGAACTTCACAAGGCAGAAGACGGGAAGTAGATCCAGAGTCCATAGAAGAGGAATTGACCGTTGTGGCCTCAGAAAATCAGCCTGTGTTCTCAGTAACAGACACTTTAAGCAGGAAACGCAGGAAACAAGGAAATGAGCTAAAAGTTATATATGTTGTGGCAGAGGAAAGAGAGACGCCAGAAAAACTTCTTCTTGGCACTATCTTAAAAAGGACAAACAACAGAAGGACAGCCTTTTTTTAAAAGAGTCTGCTGAAGCCCGGGGTAAACATACCTGCTTTTGCTACACTGTGGTGGAGTAGAGCAGCTCAGATCTCGTCATACACAGCTCTCCTACAGTATCTTGTAGTTCAGGCTTTGGTTTGGAGGGTTTCTGTTTTGTTGTTTTTTTGTTTTTTTCTCTTTACTCTTTGGGGGCGCCGCCACCCAACTCCCAAATAATCACACAGAAACTTCTTTCTTCTGAACGCCCAACCTTAGCTTGGCTTATTTCTAGTCAGCATCTCTTAACTTAGATTATCCCATCTACCTTTGCCTCTGGGCCTTTACCTTTCTCTATTTCTGTATTTCTTTTCTTTCCTTCTTATTCCATGGGTGGCTGGGGGGAGCAGCCTCCTCTCCTTCCTTTTCCTCATTGCTCCTCCTTTTTCTCTTTTCCTCCTTCTATCTGTTCTCACTTCCTACCAAGCCTGCCTATTTCTCTCCCCTGTCTGGCTATTGGCTGTTTACCTCTTTGTTAGATCAATCAGGTGCTTTAGACAAGCAAAGTAACACAGCTTCACAGAGTTAAACAACTGCAATATAAAATAATGCAACACATCTTTGTATCCTTAAGCAGATGTTCCACAGCATAAACAAATGCAACACATCTTCAACTATTATTCCACAATAGTATCCAGATGTTGGTTAATGCAGAAACTCACAACTGGCCAAAGTTTAGAGAAAAGGGTCTTCCGAATCGAATACTCAGCCACAAGTGGAACATTTATGTCACCACCACTCCAAGGTCCAGAAACCCATGCAGAAGAGGGATCATGAAGTTTATAGAGCCAGAAGCTGGGAAAGTGTTAAATCTGAGCATCAAGAGGAGAAAAGACCAAATCCATGATTGTCCCATTAAAGCTAGCTTTATTTTAGTGTGCATCCAGGACTGGTCAGTCAGCTGTCCCACCCTAAGTCGGGATTTAAGAGAACAACCCCTGTCAGCCCCTTGACGTCCTTTCTATTCACAGGGGTGAGAGAGGTGGTTGTTCTATGTTGTCAGAAAAAATACAAGGCAAGGGAAGGAACAAGGGTGAGGATATTGTAGTTGGTTGGTTTTACTCTTTGCTCTTTGAGGGGCCTGCCACCAAGCTCCCAAAGAAATACACACAGAAGCTTATTATTATTTATAAATGCCCATCCTTAGTGTAGTTTATTTCTAGCCAGCTTTTCTTTTTTTCTTTAATAATTTACAATCACTTTACATATCAATTCCCCCATCTTTCCATGCCCCCTACCTACCCCCCAACCCACCTCCCACTCTCTCCACAAGGATGGTGAGTCCTTCCAAGAGGGGATCAGCAAAGTCTGTCACATCATTTGGGGGAGGGCCTAGGTCCTTCTCCAGGTATCTGGGTTGAGAGAGTGTCACTCCATAAGGAAT